CTTAGAAAATGAGCATGCTGACATCATCTCAAGGCATCTGTTGGCTATTATATCTATGAGCAAAAGCCTATACTTTGTGTATTTCTCTCGTAGTCTGCAGTATCGTCATATTCTTGCTTTGTGAAATGCTTATATTTCCCTTTGACTTTATTGATTCTGATGAATTAATCATAGGACACATTGATAAAACAGTACTTTTTAAATTATTTAGCCCTGTTTCTCAATGTCTTGGACATGTGGCACATTTGGACATATTACCAGTAGTCTCAGAAAGTGAGCTCTACCATTACTAATCCTGGCGGATGGTAAAGACCCTCATTACAACAAATGCTATCAGTCAAGCTAAAAGCCAGCATGACTATATTTTGGTATTTGTTTTATTAGTCCACTGTTAATACAGTCCCAAAATGTTTTGCATGTCAGAAGTCACGTTTTCAAGATTGGACATTCAAGAAGCAAAGTATTAATAGTGCAGAAATTAGTTTTTAAATGTTTAGTCTACATATCACATTCCCTCAGTTGAGCAAACAGCAATGTTTTCTAGTGGCTCTTTGATGAACAATTGACAGAGACACAGGTCTTCACTGTCATCTCATCTGTGACAAAGTAATTCAGAGTTGAAGAGTTATGTATGCATCTTTTTATGAATCTGCTACACAGTATCATGTAGTGTGAATATAACTCTGTTGCACTTGAATTCGGATCCATCTGTTATTTGAAGAACATATAGGTAGGCCAAGAACTAGAGATAGAGAGAAAGAAAGAGTAGGACATGTTCTAAAGCCTTACCTCCATCTGAGCAGAAAGAAACCAGGACACTAATCACCCCGTGTACTGCAACGCTGACCTTCCACGAGCTAGGAATAAACAGGTGTGAAGAATTGACAGGGATGAGAGGGGATGGAGGATATTAATAACTAATAAAACTAATAAACAGTCTAATCTAATAAATACATTACAGAAATGGATATTGTGCAACACCTAGGTGTAATCTAAACCTGTTCAGAGAGAGAGAGAGAGAGAGCGAGAAACAGAACTGATTGCTGCTTATCAGCGGATATCCTAAAATAAGCACAACATATACCGTAAGAACAGGCAAACGCAATTCGGTAAAAAATACAGCTCTTTGTTTATTTTGTGTGGCATTGCATCGTAGATCCACTATATCGAAAAACAATGTTTTTCTCTTTCAGGTTTGTACAGACCTATGTATTATTCTGAGAAATTATAGTCTATTGATGTGATGATCTGTTAACAACTCACATCTGCGCTTTGACGTCTTTTTTCCTGAACCACATGACAGGAGCCTATTCCACTCCCCAAGGCACTGCAGGGAGAAGGCAGCTACAAGCGTGTCCCAAGGATCTTAGCTCAGGATACCCCGTCCTAAAATCGCTGGAATGAAAAATAGAACTTGGAAAGTGTGGCAAACTGTAGAGGTAGGATTATATTCATCACCCCATCCTCCTCTATCTTTCCCTCTCTCCATTCCTCCCCCAATCCTAGATTTAACCATAAGTGGGGAAAATGCAATACTGACCCTAGATCATTGACTAACTTCACCCTACTCCCTCTGGTCAGCTGATCACCCACCTCCCCAAGGGTTGCCAAATCGTAACCCTAAAAGCGCCGACAATGGGTCAAAAATGTCATAATTTAAAAACCATTTTTTTTAATACAGATTTGGGACCAGGTTACAACACATTAAATTACTATCCTGAATAATCCTAGCTATCTGATCTGCTCATCAGTCATGCAGTGTAGTGCCATTAGCCTCATTAGCCTATGGTAATTAATGGAATGACTTCCAAGGTGCTATGCTAGGCTATTCTTCCTGAGACTCCTGATGAACTGACTACCGTGACTGTCAATGGACCATTCAATATTCTGCACAAATTGCATAGTGGAAAGGCCAATTGGTGATTAATATCAAATGACACGATCTACACACGGTACTGTAAACTAAAACCTCTTTCTATGCAGTGCAGCTGCCTGCTGAGATTTGCCTTTTCGCCACAGCTCCATTTTACTACAGCTCCGCCTCACTACAGCTCCGTCTCACTACTGCCCTCTATATTCCCTATTGATGCTGAGCGCCACCGTCTCACAGAGAAATCTGGTCATGTTGATAACACTCCACTAGAGAGCACACTTTACCTGCACAAGACATATTGAATTATTGTGAGGTTTTTATGATCTAGGGAAGGAGGAAGGAGGAGATGTATCTGAAGTAACCACCATAGAGATATACCTGTTCTGTTTGAAGGACAGATGTGGCCACTGATGTCAGAGCTAACTGCATTCTTTTAATCATAATGTCAACTCAACAATACAGTACAAGGAGGTCATAAACATGCCTCAGGGTCAAAGAATGTAACAATAATGTTTCACGTCACTGACATATGTTTTCATGTATGGACATAACATTTCTTCCCCTCCCCCTCACAGGAACCAAGGTGTGGAACTCAGTGTGAAAGTCACGCAGGTGCTCAGGTCTGCTATGAGTACAGACTGGCCAAGCTGAGGCCTGGTAGGGGTTCGGACTGGCCGGGATTGGCCAGCACAGGAGGCTGGTGAGGGGAAGACAGCTCATAACAATGGCTGGAATGGAGTGAATGGAATGGAAGCCATGTGCTTAATATATTTGATACATTTCCATCTATTCTGTTCCAGCCATTACTATGGCCCCTTCTCCCCAATTAAGGTGCTGCCAGCCACCTGTGGGCTGCAGGGTTGGGCCTGTTAACCCCTGACCCTGGAGGTGCCTGAGTAGCTGAAGCTCACGCCCCAACATGAGTCCACTGGACTACGGAGACCCCTGTGGTGGAGAGCTGCTGCGTGGCATGGTAGTGCAGAAGTGTTTGAAGCAGGCTGATGGTGAATGTGCTCCCTGGTGCAAGTTTTTTTGAGTGTCTGGTTCTTGAGCGTCTGGTTGAACCACTCTACCCCTCTCTGTCCCTGGGGGTGGTAGAATGCTGGGCGGATGTGGCGGATCCCTTTCCCTTTCAGGTAGGAGAATAGCTCATTAAACATGGTCTTGGGTAGGCCCCAACTGCCAGTATTTATTATCTACAGTATGTTTAGAATTTTGAGTGTACAGATTAGCATGCTGAATACTGAATGAATAAAAAATCATACAGTGCACTTTTTAAGGTGAATAAATAAATGAAAGTGATTATAAAGTTACTAAATAAGTCATGGTTTTGAATAACACTTGGGGTTTGACACGATGAAATAATATCTCTCCAATTCAGACCACTATCTTCTATTCCTCCACTACAGTAGCTGCCACCACAGCTTCTTAACTCCTTTGGACTAGACACTTTCCTCATTGTATTATGGATTTTCCTACATTTTTTATAGCTCTTTGTAGAGTAAAAAGAGCAGTAAATGTGTGAGTATCCACAGTGTTGTGTCTGAGGGTGACCAATGGGACACTAATCTCATTACAGGCCTCTTAAAGTAACACATCCTTAAGCTCCAAATCTCTTTAATACAATGCCCATTACAAAGTGCTGAGCTAAGCTCTCTCCTCTAGCCACTAAGATGGTCTAGATCTTCTGTACAAGTCTACTCTCTACTTTCCCCTCATTTCCCCTAGTTTGTTTAGTTTTAAATTGATAATCAAAGAATACACAAACAGCATTACTGCAGAAGACTACATCTCACATGATCGTTATGATTGATTTAGGCTAAATTAGAACATAAGATATGCACAATGTAACATCTCTTGAAATAATCTTTTAAGGTTTTAAAACAGGAAGAAATGTGCATTTTATTTAAATTTACAGGTTTGTATGATGAAGGAATATGATGTTTGGGAGGAAATGACATTGAAACGCATGAGTTATCCTCTCTCCCACACATACTGTACAAACACACGCACACACCCACACATGCACACAAACGTGCGCACACACACAGACAGACAGACAGACAGACAGACAGACAGACAGACAGACAGACAGACAGACAGACACACACACACACACACACACACACACACACACACACACACACACACACACACACACACACACACACACACACACACACACACACACACACACACACACACACACACACGGGGCAGCCGAGTGGAAAATGGACAATTATGGATTTCTTAGATAGAAGGCTTGAAGTCTTAAAAACTATAATACCTCAACATAAGCACAAGTACTCAATGAATTACCTGTGAATTACATGTAACTTTCTTTATGTTGCTACACTTAATGTTTTATTAAAATAATATTTTATATTATTTTGATAAAAATCCAATATAAATACTGCTGTACATATATTAATACATATATTAATTTCATGTTCAATCATGTCGTGTTAAGAATGAGAGGAAGTTTACACGTCTGAGACTGTTATCTATAAAAACATATTTCAATCACCATGTAGTATTTCCTGGTGGTGCAGTTATTCTCCTTTGTGCCTATGAATTACCACCACGTAAAGTGTTTCTTTATTGCCACTTATAATAAACCATCTGTTCTCCTACAGCACTCCGTCTCTTCACTCTTGTATGCTCAGAGTATGAAGCTTCAAACATGTATCTAGAATATATTGAAATATATCTTCAAAAGACAGACTGTAAATTTAACAAAGTGCTAAAAAGTTTTATGCAAATGCCAAACTCAGTTCTGGGTATATGGATGAGGCCTAGGTGTATAACAGCCAATGCAGCATTTCAGATTAAGCCATCATCAGATAGTCTCCTGAGAGGTATGAGCAGGTGTAACCTTAATAACTTGATGAGTGCCCAGTTATGTTTGCAGTGGTGGCTGGATTATATATTAACAGTGGCCTAAATCACATTGTGCTGACTGATTTGGAAAGTGTTCATCTAACACCTTAAGATGTGCCTATAAAATCAGGAGCCTGACCTCCTGGGTGCATTTGTAGAAAGGTTCCCTTTCCATCTCTCTTTCTGTACAGCCGGACCAAACAACACCATCTGAAGAAGGGCTGAACGCCACCGCAAGACCGCAACCATGAACGGCACAGAGGGACCAGATTTCTACGTCCCTATGTCCAATGCTACTGGCATTGTTAGGAACCCCTATGAATACCCCCAGTACTACCTTGTCAGCCCGGCGGCATACTCACTCATGGCTGCCTACATGTTCTTCCTCATCCTCACCGGCTTCCCCATCAACTTCCTCACGCTCTACGTCACCATCGAGCACAAAAAGCTGAGGACCGCCCTGAACTACATCCTGCTCAACCTGGCTGTGGCCGATCTCTTCATGGTAATTGGCGGCTTCACCACTACGATGTACACCTCCATGCATGGCTACTTCGTCTTCGGAAGAACGGGCTGCAACATTGAGGGATTCTTTGCTACCCATGGTGGTGAGATCGGCCTGTGGTCCCTGGTTGTCCTGGCTATCGAGAGGTGGTTGGTCGTCTGCAAGCCTATCAGCAACTTCCGCTTCAGTGAGACCCATGCCATCATGGGCGTGGCCTTTACCTGGGTCATGGCTTCTGCTTGCTCCATGCCCCCTCTGTTTGGCTGGTCTCGCTACATCCCCGAGGGCATGCAGTGCTCATGTGGAATTGACTACTACACACGCGCCCCTGGGTACAACAATGAGTCCTTTGTCATCTACATGTTCATCGTCCACTTTCTGATTCCCCTGTTTATCATCTCCTTCTGCTACGGCAACCTGCTCTGCGCTGTCAAGGCAGCTGCCGCTGCCCAGCAGGAGTCTGAGACTACCCAGAGGGCTGAGAGGGAAGTGACCCGCATGGTCGTCATGATGGTTGTCTCCTACCTAGTGTCCTGGGTGCCCTACGCCAGTGTGGCCTGGTATATCTTCAGCAACCAGGGATCAGAGTTCGGCCCCGTCTTCATGACAATTCCGGCATTTTTTGCCAAGAGCTCGGCCCTGTACAACCCCCTCATCTACGTGTTGATGAACAAGCAGTTCCGCCACTGCATGATCACCACCCTGTGCTGCGGGAAGAACCCCTTCGAGGAGGAGGAGGGAGCCTCCACCACTGCCTCCAAGACCGAGGCCTCCTCCGTGTCCTCCAGCTCTGTGGCTCCTGCATAAATGGGGCCCCACCATGGCCCCTGCGATCCAGCGTCCACGAAGAAGACTTCTGCTCCCGGAAATGACAAAGGCTCACGTCTACAGAAATAACTCTTGAATTTTTACAAACCAGTTGGTTCAACCTAAAGACAGTTGCAGATGGGCAGCCCACAACAAAGTTGTTTATGTATATGTAAAGAGAGTCTAACGTAACAATTTGCAGGGATGGAATTGGAAAATAATCACTCTGGGAACTAACCAATGTAAAATGTTCAGATTCTGTTTTTTTACATGTCCAAATGATTTCACTTTGGTAACTCTGTTCCCACTCGTTCCCTCCCAATTCCACCCCTGTCGATGTGCAAGATGTTTTGTCTTTCTGGAGACAGGAAAGGAAAATATCTTAAATCTTTTACAGTTGGATTCTATATGTTACTGGCTTATTTGTGAATGTAGAGACATGTAATCAAGGCAACGTAATAAATCGCACTTTGCAAAAGACAACTACTGTTCATGTTTTACTTACTATCAAGGTGAAAAGGTTGGTACCAAAGTAGTGTATTTAATCAAGTAAGTCAATGTGAATCACCTATTCAGAATGCAATGTTTCAATAGATACTAACGCAAGTTTTGCAACCAGCACAAAGGCCTCTTGAATGCAACACATGAAATATAAAATAATTCAACATATGTTGTCTATAGTCAAGACCTGGGTTCAAAAACTATTTCAGGTATTTCAATTACTTTTTGAATTAATAACCTTTATTTGAAAAAACAAGTAGTTGAATGTTGGAATATATTTTTTAATATACTTGGAAAGTATTTTAAAATACTCAAATACACTGACTCAAATACACTCCCATGCTTTTAACCCAGGTATTTGAAAATAGTATTTTAAATAAGTATTTGAAAATACTTGCAAATACAATTTGACCGACTATTTTTTATTTATTTTTTCAAATAACCATTAAAATAATCAAATAAAAGTACTTGTTTTGGGCTGAGTATTGAAAATACTCAAGTACACAGAAAAAAGTTTTTAAATTACAAATATTCATATACGTATTTGAACCAAGGTCTGGTACGGTCAAGTGTTCTCATAGCTTTGATAAAGGTGTTAAGACGGAACAGTGATCTAAGGTCAATCACAGGTCACCTTGTACTGAGAATGTAATGCTACTTAAAAGGGATTATTACATGAATACGCATAGCTATGTATGACTCAGTACATACATGAAGATACAGACATGACTATAGCTTCTGATTTACAGTAATCACACACAAGGTTGAGGAGGTGAAATACCTAATTGGATCAACTGCAGTCAATCTTAACAAGAGCTATTTGTGTTCCTGATGTTAAATGGAACACAGGGGCTATCTTACACCCACCCACCCACACACACACACACACACACACACACACACACACACACACACACACACACACACACACACACACACACACACACACACACACACACACACACACACACACACACACACACTTTGGATCACAATAGAACATGAAAAAGATGACAGGTTGCGTATTATTACCCTTGAGTGGTAAAGTATAGCATCAGGTATAGTATGCTCTAGATTTACTGGGGCTTACAGATACTGAATCAGTTTCATCAGTGATGAAATATGAGTTATCCATGCCTTTTCCCCTCTGTGTAAAGACTGTGGTATAAGCTGTGCCTGCATGTCTATGTGATAAATGATAGAAACTCATGGAGTGACATGAGATTTCTCCTCCTCAGTGCTCGGTTGTGCAGAAATATCTGTCAGGCTGGAACAAAACAAACACCTCAAGAACTCTCTTATAATGACCTTCATTGCGTAGCTATAGCAACCCTCATACCATCGGATCTCTGGCTGAATACAGATACGCTCGCTCGCCAAGCGATCTGCTCCAATCCAGCTCCAGCAGAGACAGGCTGAGGGAAACAACAACAAATCAATCACTGGCCGCAGACCAGATTAGGGGCTGGGGTGAAGACAGGCAGGGAGGAGTGGGAGCATTACCCTTCATGATTTCCAATTGATACTGTATGGAAGTCTTGCTTTCATCAATTCAGAAATTCTCTTGACATATACACACTAACGAATGAATCTCATCAATATTCTGCTGACTCATTAGTTTTATTTTTTACTGCCTCTGAAGCGGGTGTTTCTGCCTCAGAAGAGAGGCTGTCATCTTAGCTTCTGTTACCACGGCACTTTTTTGGGTTTCCATGACAACTGCCTATCAAGGTCAACTTGCTAGCACCCATCTCCTCTGAGGTTGTTGTAAATTATGTCATCGTCACATGGAATAGGGATGCCTACAACATCAATACCTCCCTGGGAAGGTAACGAAGGTTGCAGTGGCTTGGAGAAGCATCGCTTGGTGAGTGCAAAGAACTCTTTAATTCACATCCAACACACTTTTTCCCGACATCTAGATGGAAGAGATAACACATCCATAATTCAGAAGTGAAAGCTGGAAGTCATTTAGACTCAGTGCTGTGCGTGCTCCCACACATCCTGAAGGTGTTCTATGGTATGGATCACTATGGAGGAATGCTCTTCTCAAAGTTTATTTACATACTAACTAATAACCCTGTTATTGTCTGAGTGGAAATCTAATGACACTTTATTTATTCTCTAAACTTTTGACCAGAGACAAATAGGGCTCTATATAGGGAATAAACAGACAGCATAAGGAGTGGACTGTTGTGCCATCATCACAGCTTCAGCCTAATTTTTCCCCAGTGTAGGCTAGGTTACTGATATGGCCTGTATGATGAGAAGACCCCTCTCGAGTTGAAAGTAAAAGCTGTTGCTCTTCGCATACTTGAGATGGAAAAAAGAATATTGTGTGTGTTACAAAACCAACAAGGGAATATACTGTAGCATAGCTGAAAGCCTGCCTCAGGGTTGCTTGTTAACAGCTGTGTGTATCCATATAGTATGTGCTACTGTATTAGGTAGTTTACTGATGTTGTCGATTTTGTCACCATCCCAGCATATCGCCCATTAACAAGTAGAATAATTTCACTTCCGTGATGTACAGTATATACCAAATTATTCTGTCAGCGGTAAATAGGGAGATATTTATGTGAATGGATATACAGTTAAATATTCCTTGTTTATTTACTAAAACCTTTGCTAGTCAGACAAATCTGAAATGTCAAATAGACCCTATTAAAAGCAAGGAAGCTAGACATTTACATTTTCTTTGCAGATATCCGGTTACTAAAGCAGTGTGCTTACATAGACTGAGGTACCTTTGTGAATAATACATTAATCTGAGAACACTGCACTCCTGTACTTGTGGCTGTTGCACTCCAAAGGGACTCTACAATGTCAATCATGTCAATAGGAATCTCCTGAGAATATAATTGCAAGCCACTGTGGAGAAAAATTATTTTTGAATTTGTATGGAAAACTTTATTTGATAATAAAAATAGCATTCACAGACTTCTTTTTGATAGCTACATACTGTATACATTGTGATCGATCTCAAGGAAAGAAGCTTTACTGGATAAGTCCACATCTACTTGTACTTAGACTAATGTTATGTATAGCTTCATGGGTCAAATAAAGCTATGAACAATGTAGTATTTATATATGCATAGTGTTTTATAAAAAAAGATTGGACCATATACATGTAATGCTTTTATCAACACAGACATAGCATTATGTCTGGAGCACATTGCAATAATGCTTAACGAACACAGACTGCATACAAGTGCTTTATAATAAAAAGGCAGGCTAACCATCGAGAGATATTCAAACCAACAAACAGCTTCTGATTGACCAAATACAGTCATCCATTTTTAGAATGTCTTTACATACCTGATTCAGAGTACATTAACATATTTCTCATGAATCATCAGGTCCATTTCAGAAATATAAACACAATATCACATTCCTCACTGCAGAGGTTTCCCATAAATTTCTCTTTTGTACAAGAAAAAGGCAACATTTTATTCCTCAACGGGTTCCTATTAGTTACATAGTGAAATTTGGACAGGTGGTGGCCGGCAAATTAACTTCTTCTTTAAATGTTTTCTTCTTCTTTTTTCTTTTTCGTATTTCTTTTTTACAGTACCATGGCAACAACAGTGATAAAACAATGCATTTGTTGTGGTTTTTCCTATATCTTTTTAGTCGTTTTGTGAAACATAAAACAGAGAATACACAGAAAACCACACGGTTAAAGCAGTCAGACTCCAGTGGTGTGACAGCATGGCTCAGCATGGCAGATAGGCCCACTCCTGTACCGGAACTTTCCATCCGTTATCATCACAACAACTTCCCTTACATTATTACATCAACACCTAATTTCCTTGGGCAGGGAGAGGAAGAGAGGAACTTTAGAAATACTCCCATATCACCTGTATGGGATCAATGGGCCGTTGATCAGGTTTTCTATTGGATCTTCAAACTGATCAGATGTAGTGGATTAGCTGTCCTCACATCCACATATGGATCTACAGATGTAGGATCTTAATTTGAGCCAGTCTCCTACAGCAGGAAAATAATGGACATTTTTGTAGTGGTTGCTATATTTTTCACAAGGGAAAATTCTCCTGCAACAGGGTGATCAAATAAGCATCCTACATTTGTAGGATAAATGCATTATAGGACTGTGGTTACTTTAAAACCACTTGACCTCTCTGTCAACCTCTCCATGCTGCGTATAACTGTGAAGAAGGCTTTATGTTACAGGCTCCAGTCAGGTAACGTGTTGCTTCTACTGTCCTCTGAATAGGAATACAAAACTTTGTTCAATTTTATTTCCACCACAGGCAGTCTACTCAGACACCTTTTACTGAGAGAAGAGGAAACTTTAGTTTTCCTACTTGGCGCATCATTACTAGACACATTGAAAAACAGAAGCCCAAAACAGCCTCAGATCCTGGTGGGTTTTTAGACTTGTCTGCTCTGTGAGAGGAATATCAACAATACCTGGTGTTTTTCTCAATAGGTGGTCTGATTTCCCCTCTCGGATTGTGGGGGGTTTGTGGGCTTGGTAGAAAGGGGCCTGCCATACCAATTTAGAACAAAGAAATAACAGTTCTACAGCAACTCCAGCAGGGGTAAAAATTTGTATTATTTTCAGGTTATGGGGTGTATACCTTGGTCCTTTAAGCTTTTACCGAGCTTCCTCATGGTGTGTACCAATTGAAAATAAATAGCAAGTCAAATGCAAAAAGTATTATTTGAAATATATTACTTCATTCTAAAATGACAATTGGTTCTAAAATGTTGGTTTGCCTTCGTTCTGTATGATATTCACTAAGGTATGTACACTGCAGTCGTCCATAAAATGTCTGTACTACCAACGTCTTGTGCTATAGTTTGCTTTATAAAGCAATTCTGGGGTGGAAAACGACATCTAAAAACATATTAAAACAAGCCCATCATGAAGTACCTGTTACCACAGTAAGGAGCATGTTTGAAACCTCAGAGGGAACACGTGAAGTCAGAGATGCCTATAAAAAAGCTAAATCACCATTTGTAATTTGATAGGCACATACACATACCTTCACTACAGTATTAACAACCTCAGTTATGCTCAAAATAACGAGAACAAAAACAAAACATACAGTAAGAAAAAAAAAATAGATTGTACTCCTGCTGTGGTATGAATCTCTGTCTGGGATCACAAGTAGTCAAATCAATCAATCAGGCGATCAGATAAATTACGAGTCAATCTCCACAGAAGTCTAAGTCCAGTGTATGTACTGTGGTCTCCACAGTTCGAGGGCTGAGAGGCCAGGGGGGCCAGGCTCTGTCCACTCAGATGCTGAGGTCCTTGGGGCTCTCTTTGTAAAACCTTCTCTTAGGCTCTGGGAACTGGTTCGGGGCACGGCCTACTGCATTGTTGTGTCCTGCTGCTGCGTTGTTGTGTCCTGCTGCTGCGTTGTTGTGGTGTTGTCCTGCCTTGTTGCTGTGTTCTGCAATGTTGTGGCCGGCTTGGTGGTGAGCGGAGGCGTTGTTCTTCAGTGTGCTGTAGTAATCCTTCAGTCTAGTAGCAGGCGGCGCTGCATAGTTCAGCTCCTCCCTGCTGGAGCTGCTGTCTGGAGATGAGTCTCTCTCTGACCTGTAGCGTCTCTCTGGTGTTCCGTTAATCCTGTAGCTCTCATCTCTCCTTTCGGCCGACGAGTCCCTCAGGAGGATGCCATTCTTCAGGCTGCCTCTGTCGGGCGTGCGGCCCCTGGAGAGAGACTGGGAGGAGGCCCCGTTATTTGGCCGTTCTGGGGTGGTGGCCTTCATGTCAGTCATGCGGCCCCTGGAGAGCGACAGGGAGGAGGCCCCGTTGTTGGGGCGTTCTGGGGTGGTGGCCTCCATGTAGGCTCTGCCAGAGGTCTGTGGTTCCCTCAGGAGCCTTCGGTCATAGAGTGGTCGTTCAGGAGTGGCTGCATGACTGAGAAACCCTCCGTCGTCGTACTCCCTCTCAGGTGTGCGGTCCCTGTGTGCTCGCTCTGCCCTGCGGTCCATGGACTTGGCCCGCCGTCGGTCAGGGGAAGCGTTGCGTTTACGGGTGGGCGAGCGGTCGAGGGAGCCGCGGCGCGGTCGACTGTACCTCTGGTCCAGAGTACTGCTACTAGCAGAGAGCCCTCGCTCTCGTTCTTTCTCCGCTGCTGCAGCTGCAGCCTTCTTCCCAGAGCTGTCCTTGCGCAGAGTCTTTAAGAGTTTTGAGATGCCGCTCTCCGACTCCGATTTCTTGACTTTGCGGCCCAGGCTCTTCTTGTTGTTGCCGCCGCTGGTTCTGTTGTCCGGGGAGTGTTGTCTGGAGGTGGTGTGGCTGTGGTTGTTTTTCCAGGTGTGATGGTGGTGGGGGTTAAAGTGCCGGCCCGAGTGCTCCATCCTGTCCCTGTCTCGGCCCTGCGCAGTGTCCTCATGGCGTGATGGTTTGTGAAGGTCTGGTGGATAACTGGACTCCGATGAAGTGTGATATCGGCTGTTTGGTGGCAGGGTTCTCACTTCCGGAGAGTTTTGTGCCCCGGGTGTGGGAGAGTGCCCGTCATGGCTGGTGTCTGGGGGAGAAGAAAGACAGAACATGAGAGACATTCTCAGACTGGATGGAGTTTAAACTAGCTAAATAATGTAGCCTTGGTAGCTCAGACAATTCTCTCAAACATAAGGTTCCATATCCATTTTCATGTGGGTGATTATATCTGTATTGAGTCAATACAGCCATTTTTATGGAAACCATGCACTACCATGCACTTCCATAAACATGAACATGTTGGCAAATTGGGACAAAAACATTTACTTCTGGAAGAAAACTCAAGGATGATATTAAATATTCAAATTTGTACACAAATGACTTACTTTGATCCTCAACTTAATTACATAAAAGTAAACAATTGCTTAAGTATATTTTCTACGAGAGCAATGGATTGGTACATGTAGGTAGCAGCAACACAACAGGTGCAAAACATTGCAAGTGGAGGGCTGGGTTATCAATTACAACAAGCACCTATGATATTATTAAAAGCAAAATTATAAACAAGTCGATTATCATCATTGGGAATGGGAACCTCAGAAATGAGCCTGAAACAAACAAAACAAAAAACTGGAGAGCGTTCTGCCCATGACTCTGCCCAATTACAGACGTGTTGTTATGGTAGCAGCGGGTGGCGAGCAGTTACATGAATCCATCCAGAGGTGGGCGGAGAAGAAGCAGTGCAATCTGGGTGTATGGGTTCACATGGGTCATAAAAGCACAGTACAGGTTGAGGAGTGAGTCAGGCCACACAGCACCAAACACATACCCAGGGAGGTGCAGGTAGGGGGAGAGGGGGGGAAGGGTAATGGGAGATGGGTTAAGTGGGTGAGGGATGTTGGGGTGCAGGGGTGCAGGGGTGGGGGGTATAGGGTTAGGAGGGTGGGTTGGAACAGACTTGGCTACAAACCGTGGTCTGATTTTGGCCCATTAAGTAGAAACAGGGCTCTCCCATCTTGTCATTTCTCATAGTACCAACAGCGAGATGAGGAGCCATCATCGCTGGAGGGAGGAGGAAGAGCCCAGAGAAAAGAAATGGAGAGGAAAGAGAGAGAGGAAATAAAATGAAATCAAAATAAAATAAAAAAGTAAAAAGAGAAATCAGAGGGTTTAGATCCTCAATGAAGACAAGAGAAAGAGAAACGTAGTTGGTTCAGTTTTCCCATTTTTCTGGCTGGCAGAGAAACGGAAAACCTAGAAAATTGACGACTGAGTGGAATCCTTCACACAGTGACCTTTCTCGGCAGAACAGAGATAAAGATAAACATTCCCAGATTTGTGAGCCAGAACATACAGTATTTGGACAAAAACAAGACTTGGTTTACATAGCATTTTAGTCATTTAGCAGATGCTCTTATCCATAGCGACTTACAGGAGCAATAAGGGTTAAGTGCCTTGCTCAAGGGCACATTGACATATTTTTCACTTGGAATTTGAACCAGCGACTTTACTGTTACAACGCTCTTAACTGCTATGCTACCTGCCGCCACAGCAGGATGAACATGACATACTATGGCCAATAAATCACTGATGTAGGAGCAATAACATTAAATGTCATTTAGACACATCACTGGGACAGCAAATATTTGGAAAATCCTTTGTTGATCAAAGGCTATAAGACATAATGTAAGCTTGTGTTGATGTCATGATATAATCAATTCTAAAGCACTGGTTCAGGACACTGAAGACACAGTCATTCCTCCACTCAGAGAAATCCTGCTTACAGCAACAAGACACTGCAGACTATAGTGTCCGGCCGGTGTGTGGGGCCTTCAGTGTTAGTTAGTCAGAGGCAGTAGTGTTAGTCACAGTATGGAGGGAACATGTATCACATCACATTGCCACACACCATATTCAGGAACAGATCCATCGCCCCTCTTGAGGACCAGGCGTGCCCTCCGGCCACCATTCTTGATCAGCTCGATGGCGCGTGCGTGCTTCATGTTCTTTGTGCTCTCGCTGTTGATCTCCAGGATCTCATCTCCCACCTGTATGTGCAGAGGGAGAGAAGGGAGGAGGTTTAATGAGACAACCAGACAAATGATCCCAGGAGAGATGAACTGTCTATAACATAAATATTATAATCAAAGTACAAGAGTGACAGGACTCCAATTGTTGATATGATTTTTTTCATGGGAGCATACCCTCATCTTGCCATTCCTGACAGCCGCCCCATCGTCAGCCAGTCTCAACACATAAAGGTCCATGTTGTACTCCCGCCCACCTCTCAGGCTGAATCCAAAGCCTTTGCTGTCCCGCTCCAGATCCACAGAGTAGAACTCTGCATCCTGAGAGAGAGAAAGAGAGACAGAAAGAAAAATACATATTTACAGAGGAGGGGGAAGTGCGAATGCCCATAATTTGTGGACCAACAGGGGTGTCATGAGGTGAGTCCTAACAGCAGGACTAATCAAGCCAAGTCCAGCAAAAACTCACACAAAATCGATGGAGGTACAATACCCTGGAACCAATGAATAATAAATGCTGCCTCAGCCTGTGAGAGAGGCACAGAGCCCAGAGCAAGGGCACTGCAAGGGCTGGACAGAGGCTTACTGCACTCATTAAAAGTTTGGCTGTGGTACTGTCCGTCTTCAGTCCTCTTTTATTGATTAGCTGATAGCATGATTAATTGATTGATTAGATTGCTTTGATGATTTGAAAGAAAATCTCAGGTTGAATCTACACTGTGCGTTCTTGTAGGGAGATGATTTACTGTTCCCTGCTTTGGGGATTGATTTTAACAGACCAATAGAAATGTTTGTCTTACCTGTGAGGGCTGAGCTTGTGTTGGAGGAGGTGGAGGAGGAGCCTGTTTCAACTTGGAGTTATTCCTGGAAAATAAAATCATTCATATGAACACAAAGATATGAAAGTACATCATATTCATATAGAAGTAATCTTTCATATAATTTATCATATTAATAAAGTTTATTCCAAAAAGCCTGTTTATGAATAATTAAGATCGTCGTAGACACTCACTGAGGCTCTGTGGCAGTTTGGGGTGTGTGCGTTGTGGTGATGGTGGCAATCTTCTCAGCATTGGTCAACAGAGATGCGTTGGAGGACTCTGTGGAAACACAAATTGAGGATTCTGGTAAGATCTTAGAGTAAAACAAAATGAATCCGCTCACTGTTAGATGCTCTAAAAGTGCTTTTTTGTTAAACAAACAATGTGTTTTGACCTGTAATTGGGTCTTGGTCAGGACTGCTGTCTTTGACAACACATCTCCATACAGGAGTTTGGCTCTCCAGAGAACACAGTCTCCCCTCAAGGCTGCTCTTTTCAACCTGACGCTGACTGCCTATGATGTTGTCATCTACCATTTTGCTCACCAGCTCAAACATCAAAGCCTCTCCGCCTCAGTCGTTCCGTTTTTTATTTTATTCCAAGGGGGAAAAAAAATAAATAAAAAAGTAAAAATAGGGTAATTGTCCTTCCTTTCTTGCAAATCTAATTGTTTTATGCCACAAGCCACAGCACAGTAGCCCACATTAGTCATCATAGACATTGGTTACTTATAGAGGGAATGGGGTTCTGCCTGAAGTTAGCGACAGCATCAGCCTGACTCATTCATCCTTTTCTCCCCCTCTCCCTCGCCACCCTGACAGCCCTGCCTGCCTTCCCCCACGGTCACGGAGCTCTCTGGGGGGGCACAACCTGAACGATTCAACAACAAATGTCGCCACACAAAATGACACTGTCTGGCTGAGGAAGGTCATGGCTGAATGGCTTCTATCTCTGAGTGTTGTTCAGCCATTAGAATAAAATTGTAGACTATAATTACACTGAATGTATAAACGCAACATGCAACAATTTCAAAGATTTTACTGAGTTACAGTTCACATAAGGAAATCAGTCAATTGAAATAAATAAATTAGATTAACATGACTGAGATTTCACGACTGGGAATACAGATATGCACCTGTTAGACACAGATACCTTTAAAAAAAAGGTAGGTGCGTGGATCAGAAAACCAGTCAGTATCTGGTGTGACCACCATTTGCCTCATGCAACGCGACACATCTCCTTCACATAGAGTTGACCAGGCTGTTGATTGTGGTCCCAAACATGCTCAATGGGTGACATGTCTGGTGAGTATGCAGGCTGTGGAAGAACTGGGACATTTTCAGCTTCCAGGAATTGTGTACAGATCCTTGCGACATGGGGCCGTGCATTATCATGCTGAAACATGAAGTGATGGAGGTGGATGAATGGCATGACAATGGGCCTCAGGATCTCGTCACGGTATCTCTGTGCATTCAAATTGCCATCATTAAAATGCAATTGTGTTCGTTGTCCGTAGCCTATGCCTGCCCATACCATAACTCCACCGCCACCAATGGGCAGTCTGTTCACAACGTTGACATCAGCAAACCACTCGCCCACACAACGCCATAGACGTGGTCTGCGGTTGTGAGGCTGGTTGGACGTACTGCAAAAAGTCTCTAAAACGACGTTGGAGGCGGACATTCGGTAGAGAAATTGACATTCAATTATCTGGCAACAGCTCGTGGACATTCCTGCAGTCATCATGCCAATTGCACGCTCCCTCAAAACTTGAGACATCTGTGGCATTGTGTTGTGTGAGAAAACTGCACATTTTAGAGTGGCCTTTTATTGTCCCCAGCACAAGGTGCACCTGTGTAATGATCATGCTGTTTAATCAGCTTCATGATATGCCACACCTGTCAGGTGGATAGATTATCATGGCAATGGAGAAATGCTCACTAACAGGATGTAAACAAATGTTTTGTGCATATGGAACATTTATGGGATCTTTTATTTCAGCTCATGAAACATGGGACCAACACTTTACATTTTGCGTTTATATTTTTGTTCAGTGTAGATGTTGTCGCTTTGTTTAACGTGTGGTTTTGCATTCTCTCCTCCTTTGTGTGTGTGTGTGTGCTACTGGTTCTCCTCCTCTCCCATCTTAATTAAGCTACATTTTACCAGTCTCTCTAGAGCAGGGATGAAAAACTTTGATGGGGTGGGGTCCACCCCAAAAATCGTAACTCTTTATGAGGGGCCGCAGTGGCTCGTGAGTACCTACATCCATATCCACACGTAGTCAGAGCTGGCCCTATCCTTTTACGGGCCGCAAGCAATTTTTGGGGGGCAATTTTCGTAAATTGATGATCTACGCGCCGCCAGTTGCCCATCCCTGCTCTAGAAGGCCCTTTAGAGGCAGAGCAGCAAACCTAGCACACACACAACTCTCATTGGTCTGCAAATCTCTCAGCTCAGCCAATGACAGGGCATTCTAGTGGCTGGCTGTATTGTCATTCTGGGACAGGGCACAACACAACACATGCTTACTCATGGGGAAGGAGCCAGGTTCCTGTCACAGACTGTTCCTACCATAACCAGTATTACGTATGCATTTCCTGCCACTAACACTAACAGGAAGCACTGATTACATATAAACCACATTTCACTTTTTTTGCTAATCTCTTCACTTCAAAGTAGCAGCCAATACCAAACTGGTAGACTGCAGTTCATCAAAATGACATTATGAGTCTGTGTATCAGACACTGTACTACAATCAACACACACATACTGTATGTTAACTGACATATTCTTCTCTGATATGGTTTCACTCTCAGGGATATTCACAAGCTCTGGGTCGAAGCCAACCTTAGGTACAGGATCAACTTGCCCTCCCCAAATTCTAACCTTAAAAGGTACAATGCAGCTGTTTTTATCTCAATATCAAATTATCTCTGGGTAACAATTAAGTACCTTACTGTGATTGTTTTCAATTAAATGGTCAAAAACAAACAAAAATAGTTTTTAGCAAACAGCAATTTCTCAAGCAAGGATTTTGCTAGGACTGTCTGGGAGTGGGAGTTGGAGAGGGAGAGGGGAAAACTAGCTGTTATTGGCAAAGAGGTTTGGAACTCTCTTTCTTATTGGTCTATTAACTAATTAACTAATGATGTCACCAGGCAGACCAAAACTCCATCCCACCAAAACAGGCTGACATTTCAAACAGCTCTTACACTAAAAGGGCATTATCATAATTTTCACAATTTCACAGTATTATTCCAACCTATATATATACATATATACATATATAAAACACAGGAAAATCACGTTTTTTACTGAACTTGGCCTTTAACCATAGATGGGAAAATATTAAAACTAACTATAGAAAAGTATCAATTGACAACATCTTCCTACTCAGCCCAGGGCAGGGAGCATGGCCTCTCGCAGCCCTAGGTAGCTCCCCAGGTTGGTGCAAAGGGCTTCTGCCAGTGCAGAGCGCTGGTGCCCGTTGCCTCCCACTAGGCCATGAATAAGTCTCCTCCTTACTGCATTATAAAACAGCCTAGAGCAGAAAACCACAAGTCTTACCGTCACCTGGAATGATCCTCAGAGAGACGGTGTTCCCTGCCTCCTTGATCAGGTTGACGATGTCCGAGTGGGACTTGTTGGTGATGGAGCAGCCGTTGACGGACAGGATGCGGTCGCCAACCTTCAGTTTCCCACAGCGGTCCGCAGGGCTCCCCTCGATGATGCGCCCTATTTTGTGGGGCATGGCCACACATGCATTTCCAGCTTTGATGTTAATGTGTAGTGTGTGTGTGTGTGTGTGTGTGTGTGGGTGTGTGTGTGTGTGTGGGTGGGTGGGTGGGTGGATGTGTGTGTGTGTGTGTGGGTGTGTGTGTGTGTGTTTATGTGATTACGTAATTAGATTATGGGAAAAGAAAAAAAGAGGATGGGAAAAGAAAAAAGAGAAAAGAAAGCAAAGCAAAGGGTTAATCATCCAAACCCCCATAGGCCATTCACCCAGAGAGGTCTACCCAAGAACCAGCCAACCGTTGCACTGGAAACAATGGTCCAGTCAAGGAGCATGCATGCGGAACACTTACATCCCTATTGGTGGACAGACTCGTATTGTGTGGTCATTAAGGAATTCATTGGCTGGGAGAAGATATTTTCCCCTGTCTCTGTCGCTGTCTCTACTGTTGTCCTCTGCACCCCTGACGCGCTAATCGATGGGACTTAAATCACATGGAACTGGTCTGGGCCCTTCGTGGCCCCCGCTCGGCAGGCTATCAATAGCCTTGACACGGCCTTACGATTGTCCTCCCCTCCCCGTCGGAGACAGGGATTGATCGGGAGGATACAGCCTACGCCACAGCAGAGTGGTAAGGTGCTGGAGGTAATTGAGTTTCTTGCCCTCGGAATGGCTCAGAGAATGAGATGGATTCCTACAGAGGGACTCTGAGGAATCTCAGGATCCTCGCAGACGTCAAGAGAGGAACACGCACTACAGTTTATCAGAGAGGCTACAGACAGAAAAATTCTAGCATTGCATGGGGCTGTAGAAGGAGAGTGACAGTGTTGAATACAGCACATCTTGTTTACAGAGCTGCTCTGAACAGACCCTAAGGAGCTCGCTCCCCCTCCCTCTCTTGCTCCCTCTCTCTCTCCCTCCTCCTTCCATCCCTCCCCCTATCTCACTCTCGCTCTCTCTCACTGCCTCGCTCTCCCGCATCCCTCCCTCTCCCTCCCTCTCTCTCTCTCTTCCCGACTCTTTCCATTCCTCCCCCTCTCTCTCCCCCTCTCTCTCTCTCCCCCTCTCTCTCTCTCCTCCTCTCTCTCTCTCCCCCTCCTGCTCTCTATCCCTCCCACATCCATATTTATCACATCACCTTGTGCTACCAGCTCCCCTCCCTACGCCTTGATTAAAAACTGCACTTGTCTCCTGCCACTCTATCCAAATAATGAGATATGGGACATTACTGGGTGTGACAAATACCCAGGATGTAATACCCAATCTGCTGAGCACAACACCAGCACACATCAGTTCATTATGGAAGGATGGACTGGGCTGGAGGGAGAAAAGGGGTTTGCATAGTATGATGTATGGGAGAGGGATAGAGCCAGCGGAAAACTCTTTGTCCGTCACAATACCCTAAAACATCTATGGCCCTCTCAGGCTAAAGAAGAATCCATAGATAGTGCATGTCCATCGGTTTGTGATCATGTCTCTCAGTTGGACCTCCACTAGCAGAAGGGGAGATTGGATAGAGAAACAACCCTAATCAGCACATTCATTCATCCCATCCCCACAGGGGTGATGGGGATAAAGCAGTAGGCACAGTGAGAGAGAATGAGACAGGAAGAAACTCTCAAATGATACACACATAGGGCTCTGGTCTGGTCAGAGGTAGTGCAATACATTGAGAATATACAGCTCTAGTCTGGTCAAAATAGTACTGGCAATATGGGAGAAATATATAGTATATTTGAGAGCAAACCACAGAACATTTGTGTACAATACATTAAAGAACAGTGGAGTACAGGCTTGAGACAGAGACAGTAGAGAGAGGACATGTCACATGACGTTTGAGACAGGACAGTTGAACAGAGAAGGAGAGTTGAGACAAGAACAGTGAACGAGACATTAAACAGAGACGAGACAGTTGAGACAGTAGCAGAGGACAGTTGAGAACAGTGACAGAGACAGTTGAAAGTGAAAGAGACAGTTGTGACAGAGACAGTTGAGACAGAGACAGAGACAGTTGCAATATATGGAGAATATAGAGTATCATTTGAGACACCAACAGAGACAGTTGTGAAAGAGACAGTTGAGACAGAGACAGTGGAGACAGAGACAGTTGAGACAGAGACAGTTGAGAGAGAGACAGTTGAGACAGAGACAGTTGAGACAGAGACAGTTGAGACAGAGACAGAGACAGTTGAGACAGAGACAGTTGAGACAGAGACAGTTAAGACAGAGACAGAGACAGTTGAGACAGAGACAGAGACAGTTGAGACAGTGACAGAGACAGTTGAGACAGTGAAAGAGACAGTTGTGACAGAGACAGTTGAGACAGAGACAGTAGGGACAGAGACAGTTGAGACAGAGACAGAGACAGTAAAGACAGAGACAGTTGAGACAGAGACAGTTGAGACAGAGACAGAGACAGTTGAGACAGAGACAGAGACAGTTGAGACAGTGACAGAGACAGTTGAGACAGGGACAGAGACAGAGACAGTTGAGACAGAGACAGTTGAGACAGTGACAGAGACATGTTGAGACAGAGACAGTTGAGACAGAGACAGTTGAGACAGAGACAGAGACAGTTGAGACAGAGACAGTTGAGACAGATACAGAAATAATTGAGACAGTGACAGAGACAGTTGAGACACAGACAGAGACAGTTGAGACAGTGACAGAGACAGTTGAGACAGAGACAGTTGAGACAGAGACAGAGACAGTTGAGACAGTGACAGAGACAGTTGAGACAGAGACAGTTGAGACAGTGACAGAGACAGTTGAGACACAGACAGAGACAGTTGAGACAGAGACAGTTGAGACAGAGACAGAGACAGAGACAGTTGAGACAGTGACAGAGACAGTTGAGACAGACAGAGACAGTTGAGACAGAGACAGTTGAGACAGAGACAGAGACAGATACAGTTGAGACAGTGACAGAGACATTTGAGACACAGACAGAGACAGTTGAGACACAGACAGAGACAGTTGAGACCCAGACAGAGACAGTTGAGACCCAGACAGAGACAGTTGAGACAGACAGAGACAGTTGAGACAGAGACAGAGACAGTTGAGACAGAGACAGTTGAGACAGAGACAGTTGAGACAGAGACAGTTGAGACAGAGACAGTTGAGACACAGACAGAGAAAGTTGAAACAGAGACAGAGACAGTTGAGACAGAGACAGTTGAGACACAGACAGAGAAAGTTGAGACAGAGACAGTTGAGACAGAGACAGTTGAGACAGAGACAGTTGAGACAGAGACAGAGACAGTTGAGACAGAGACAGAGACAGTTGAGACAGTGACAGAGACAGTTGAGACAGTAATAATATAATATAATAATATGCCATTTAGCAGACGCTTTTATCCAAAGCGACTTTCAGTCATGAGTGCATACATTTTTTTTTGTGTGTGTATGTGTGGTCCCGGGGATCGAACCCACTACCTTGGCGTTACAAGCGCCGTGCTCTACCAGCTGAGCTACAGAGGACCAGTGACAGAGACAGTTGAGACAGAGACAGTTGAGACAGAGACAGAGACAGAGACAGTTGAGACAGAGACAGAGACAGTTGAGACAGTGACAGAGACAGTTGAGACAGAGACAGTTGAGACAGGGACAGAGACAGAGACTGTTGAGACAGAGACAGAGACAGTTGAGACAGAGACAGTTTAGACAGTGACAGAGACAGTTGAGACAGAGACAGTTGAGACAGAGACAGTTGAGACACAGACAGAGAAAGTTGAAACAGAGACAGAGACAGTTGAGACAGAGACAGTTGAGACACAGACAGAGAAAGTTGAGACAGAGACAGTTGAGACAGAGACAGTTGAGACAGAGACAGTTGAGACAGAGACAGAGACAGTTGAGACAGAGACAGAGACAGTTGAGACAGTGACAGAGACAGTTGAGACAGTAATAATATAATATAATAATATGCCATTTAGCAGACGCTTTTATCCAAAGCGACTTTCAGTCATGAGTGCATACATTTTTTTGTGTGTGTGTATGTGTGGTCCCGGGGATCGAACCCACTACCTTGGCGTTACAAGCGCCGTGCTCTACCAGCTGAGCTACAGAGGACCAGTGACAGAGACAGTTGAGACAGAGACAGTTGAGACAGAGACAGAGACAGAGACAGTTGAGACAGAGACAGAGACAGTTGAGACAGTGACAGAGACAGTTGAGACAGAGACAGTTGAGACAGGGACAGAGACAGAGACTGTTGAGACAGAGACAGAGACAGTTGAGACAGAGACAGTTGAGACAGTGACAGAGACAGTTGAGACAGAGACAGTTGAAACAGAGACAGAGACAGAGACAGAGACAGTTGAGACAGAGACAGTTGAGACAGAGACAGAGACAGTTGAGACAGTGACAGAGACAGTTGAGACAGTGACAGAGACAGTTGAGACAGTGACAGAGACAGTTGAGACACAGACAGAGACAGTTGAGACACAGACAGAGACAGTTGAGACAGAGAGTTGAGACAGAGACAGTTGAGACAGAGACAGTTGAGACAGTGACAGAGACAGTTGGGACACAGACAGAGACAGTTGAGACAGAGACAGTTGAGACAGTGACAGAGACAGTTGAGACAGACAGAGACAGTTGAGACAGAGACAGTTGAGACAGAGACAGTTGAGACAGAGACAGAGACAGAGACAGTTGAGACAGTGACAGAGACATTTGAGACCAATACAGAGACAGTTGAGACCCAGACAGAGACAGTTGAGACAGAGACAGTTGAGACACAGACAGAGAAAGTTGAAACAGAGACAGAGACAGTTGAGACAGAGACAGTTGAGACACAGACAGAGAAAGTTGAGACAGAGACAGAGACAGTTGAGACAGAGACAGGTATTGTCACTCTTTCTGAGGACCCAGCTGCAGACAGTGCAGACGAGCACATTCAGGTCACCCATAAAAAAAGAGACAAGTCTCAATGGGATTTCTCCTGCTTGATACATAACAATCCTCTACCGCTACTTTCTATTTTATGGGGCTTCAACTACAGCCCACAGGATCAATGGAACCGGGCCCTTTGCGCGGCACAGTAGCTAACAAAACATCAATTTGATAATAGCCTGGCCCTATAGCATGTTTCACACCATGCTACATCTTCCTGGTCATCAGGCAGGCTGTGTAAGGAGACCTTGGAGCGACATTGGTGCTGCAAACTCATCAGAGGGAGCTTGATGCCACATTTGTTCAGAGAAGGACATTTAAAATCTCTCGTTGATGGCTGAGTGACCTTAATAAGGCCAATTTCACTATTTTGCCTTCATAGATAAACGGTATGGACAGCTATAGATTGTGCTCAGTGGAACTTCAATTACATGCTGAGTGAATCAGCCAGGGTCAGCTACAAGTCTGCCTTTTGAATCTGTGATGATGGTGTTTTTGATAAAGCATCAACCAGGCTTATCCCTGGTGGTGAATGCGCCTGGGCACATAAAGAGATTTCTGTTTCCTTAAACTCATGATTGTTGGGTTTGTGACGTCGGGGCTGTGTCATTAAGTCCACTCCTGTCAGAAAGGGCTCCCCTGCTATTCATAAATCAGGTGGGAACTCAATGAGGAGTGACTGTCAAAATATTGTAATTCCACCCCCAAGAAATGACATCAATCATGTCGCTGAGTGGCGGGCGGTATTGATGCACTGTTAAGGGTGTGTTTACTGGAGTGCTGCTTGGCATAATCAGGCTTTTTCACGCTCTCTCCCCACCGCAAAATTGCAGTCGCATCTTGCGCCATAGGATACACTTGTCTGTCCATCATGAATGTAAACTACTAGCTTGCCTGCTCTATCTGCACTGATTGGTAATTTAATTAGCTAAATTTAAAAAAACTGTTGAGTTCACAGGTTAAAAAAGGAACAGAAAGGAACGATTTAAACCTTTACTCTTTTTTTTTTTCTAACCGGTTCAAAACTATTTTTTTCTGGTCAGAACAGTGGAACGAAATAATAATTGTTTTGCTTCTGTTCAGAACGAAAAAATGTAGGTTCCAACCCCGGATACTTTGTATCCCTCATTTACTTCTGTTTACATTATTTTGGCAGTTACCTGTGGGTCCAGATCCAGAATTCTAAATAAGAATTCTAAAAAATGTCTGGGTCGGATCTGATGTGATTGTCACGGGTCTCGGTTATGTGTAATTTTAACTGATTGTCCGGAAAGATCCGAATGCGACTGTTGCAGTAGAGATAGAGAGAAATTGCATCATTTATGCTGCTGCTCTTTGCTTTTCACAGGAGGGGTGCGTGTAGCTTGTTGTTGTTGTTGGCCAATCATAAGTCATCAAAGCGACAATAGGCTCCAGTTATAGAGCCTCCGTGTGGAGCTAAAGTTAGGAGATATCTAATCAATGGAAGATGGAATTAAAATGATGGAATTAAAAGTTAAAGGGGAAGGATAGGCTGCAACGACCAAGAGCCAACAGGTAGGCTGCTACTTTAAATTCTGAATGGAGTCGTTGTTATTTGTAATTGTGTAGCACGAGAAAGCGAATGCAGCCTCACTTAGCCTAGCTAGCTTCTCACGGTTTAATGCAGTCAAGACAGGTACTAGTAATCATATTGGATGATAAATAACCTAGCTATGGCAGCTATTAGTCTACTATAGTGCGAGTCGGCATGGTTGGTCTCTTTTCTCTCCATCCCTCCTCCCTGTTACTGTGTCACTCGCTGAAACTCACAGTAGCCTACGCACACAGCACAGCCCCTGCTAGAGCATCACCTCCCTCTACCTCCCTTGCGCTTTATCATCTCCGGTTAATAAAGTTTCTTAAAAAATTGACTTTTCTGCTGCTTCCCTCATTCGGATCGGACCGGACCGGGTTGTCCTCGGGTCTGTTCGGAACGGGTCTCTATATTTAAAAAATGTATTTATGCATATCGACTCCGCATGGGAAAGCCCCAGGTCCATTTCAGAACGGGTCCAAAAATGTGAAGGCCTCAAACGTGTAGACTAAAGACCACAGAAAAATCTATCAGCAGAATCAGGCATCGCCCAGATTACAGGCCAGATTTAACCAGATTATCACCCAGTTCAACCCAGCTCAACCCAGAGCAAATGATAACTGATTCTCAGACCATCCAGAGAACAAAAAATTGCAACTAAACCCAGCATAGCCCACTCTGGTACTAGCAAAGTCCAGCTCACAATAACCCAGCCCAGCGTAGCATTGCCCATCCCACTCACCCAAAGTAGTCCCAGCATCAGGCCTGGAGACCGACGACACAATAACGAATCCGAAGCCCTCGTTCTCTCCGCGTTGGATCTCCATGTCATAGGGCTGGAGGGCTGCGGGGACCACAGCACTGCCAGAGCCCCCTCCTCCCCCACTGCCGATCCCACTGGTGGAGCCACTGCCGGAGCTGACCGTGTTGAGGGAGTTCTGGCTGCCCTGGGGGGTCCGCTTGCCCTCCGTCAGGGAGGGGGCCTGGGTGCTGCTGTGGTGCGACGAGGCTGGGGACGGGGGCACGTCACCCTCCCCTTTACCCACTGAGGAAGAGATGGGGGGAATGAAGAGGTGGGCAGGCAATATAAAAACGGTTTTCAGCAAATAGCAGTTTTTTTCCCTTATGTTTGGCACGGGCTAGTGATAGTTTACTGAGCCACTAAGCAATAGGTTTTCACTGAGCCACTAAGCAATAGGTTTTAGCTAGTGTGGGTAGTGTAGGCGGCCACTGTTGTGGAGTGTGTGGTGAGTTTGTGGGTGAGTGTGTATATGCATATGCCTGTGCTGTCTCTGTGAACCGTCCTCACCTCCGTATCCAGAGCTCTTGCGTCGGACAGTGAGGTTGACGTGGCCCTGCTTGGCAGCCTGCTGCATCAGCTGTACCACCAGCTGGTGAGACTTGCCCACCACCGCCGTGCCGTCCACACAGATGAGCTCATCCCCCGAACGCAGACGCCCGTCCTCATCTGCTGCTCCATATTTCACTATGTGCCCGATGTAGATCTACAAAACAAAATAATATACTCATCAGCCCTGTACTTCACTATGGGAACAATCTAGATCTACAAAACATAATACAGTGAGGGAAAAAAGTATTTGATCCCCTGCTGATTTTGTACGTTTGCCCACTGACAAAGACATGATCAGTCTATAATTTTAATGGTACGTTTATTTGAACAGTGAGAGACAGAATAACAACAAAAAAATCCAGAAAAAAACATGTCAAAAATGTTATAAATTGATTTGCATTTTAATGAGGGAAATAAGTATTTGACCCCTCTGCAAAACATGACTTAGTACTTGGTGGCAAAACCCTTGTTGGCAATCACAGAGGTCAGATGTTTCTTGTAGTTGGCCACCAGGATTGCACACATCTCAGGAGGGATTTTGTCCCACTCCTCTTTGCAGATCTTCTCCAAGTCGTTAAGGTATCGAGGCTGACGTTTGGCAACTCGAACCTTCAGCTCCCTCCACAGATTTTCTATGGGATTAAGGTCTGGAGACTGGCTAGGCCACTCCAGGACCTTAATGTGCTTCTTCTTGAGCCACTCCTTTGTTGCCTTGGCCGTGTGTTTTGGGTCATTGTCATGCTGGAATACCCATCCACGACCCATTTCCAATGCCCTGGCTGAGGGAAGGAGGTTCTCACCCAAGATTTGACGGTACATGGCCCCGTCCATCGTCCCTTTGATGCGGTGAAGTTGTCCTGTCCCCTTAGCAGAAAACCCCCCAAAGCATAATGTTTCCACTTCCATGTTTGACGGTGGGGATGGTGTTCTTGGGGTCATAGGCAGCATTCCTCTCCTCCAAACACGGCGAGTTGAGTTGATGCCAAAGAGCTCGATTTTGGTCTCATCTGACCACAACACTTTCACCCAGTTCTCCTCTGAATCATTCAGATGTTCATTGGCAAACTTCAGACGGCCCTGTATATGTGCTTTCTTGAACAGGGGGACCTTGCGGGCGCTGCAGGATTTCAGTCCTTCACGGCGTAGTGTATTACCAATTGTTTTCTTGGTGACTATGGTCCCAGCTGCCTTGAGATCATTGACAAGATCCGCCCGTGTAGTTCTGGGCTGATTCCTCTTTGACGAACTGACTTGTTGGAAAGGTGGCATCCTATGACGGCGCCACGTTGAAAGTCACTGAGCTCTTCAGTAAGGCCATTCTACTGCCAATGTTTGTCTATGGAGATTGCATGGGTGTGTGATTGATTTTATACACCTGCCAGCATATATACAGTATATAGTGTATATATCACTCCCTTTCTCTACTTTCTCCCTGCCTTTCTAGGGAGTTTTTCCTAGCCACCGTGCTTCTACATCTGCATTGCTTGTTGTTTGGGGTTTTAGGCTGGGTTTCTGTATAGCACTTTGTGACATCTGCTGATTGATTCATGTCTCTGAAAGAAATATATGAAACATAACCAACAGCTTCTGGGTAAGGCCCTTAGTTCCCCTAACAAACTGTCTAAATTCATCTCCTAAAACCAGCATGCAGGTCTACAGTACCTCATGTAACAGACAGCAGCAGTCATCTCTCTCAGAGACAGACAAACAGACAGTGGAATTTACATTTCAACTGCTTCATATTAGAGGGATAGAGTGGGGGAGAACAACTGATGCAGACAGAAGAGAGAAGGAAGACTATGAGGCTGTTAGTTCAGTTGAGCATCACAGTGTGATCTGACACAGAATGAGTGTTGTGAAAGTGTGTGTGTGTGTGTGTGTGTGTGTGTGTGTGTGTGTGTGTGTGTGTGTGTGTGTGTGTGTGTGTGTCTGTGTCTGTGTCTGTGTCTGTGTTTGTGTGTATTTGAATCTTAACAAAGAACGCCTTAAGGCAGGGACTCTGACAGGAAACATACAGTGATGAAGCTGTAATTGACCATTGAGGGTTCAGTACTGCAGCTGCCCTTTTAACACGCAGCAGTGCTGTTTAATTCATAACTTTGTTTAGTGTTTATTTATGATGCAACACGTAGTGTAATAACCAGACAGGGGGGATGCCGGTACATGTTTTATGCTTCCAGTCTTGCTTTGGAATGTTTAATTGTCAGTCGTGTATAAGTGAATGGTGTGCTGCAATGGGAGTGATTCAATATGAAAACGTCCCCTTACAAACCTTTTGCTTTCCTTGGCGCATCCAAACTTAACAGTGACAGACAAGGGACATGGTGGAGGAATGGTGGAGGGATACTCACCGGCTCCCCGGCCTCATTTCCTCCCAGGATGCGGAACCCAAAACCTGTATCCTTCCGCCACAGGAAGATCTCCTGCTCCTGGCAATCTGGCTCTGAAACACACAACAACAAGAGCTCAGTGGAGGTGAAACAGGGAGTAGACCTGACACTCAGAAAGTTAAACCGACGGCATGACTGTTGCATTAATCAACACATTGCAATAAAGTTCTGTGATATTAATAATAATATAATATACAGTGCATTCGGAAAGTATTCAGACCCCTTTACTTTACAGCCTTATTCTAAAATGTATTAAATAGTTTTTTTCCCTTCTCATCAATCTACACACAATACCCCATAATGACAATGCAAAAACAGGTTTGTAGAAAGTTTTGCTAATTTACAAATAAAGATAAAATGAAATATCACATTTACATAAGTGTTCAGACCCTTTACTCAGTACTTTGTTGAAGCACCTTTGGTAGCGATTACAGCCTCGAGTCTTCTTGGGTATGACGCTACAAGCTTGGCACACCTGTATTTGAGAAGTTTCTCCCATTCTTCTCTGCAGATCCTCTATAGCTCTGTCAAGTTGGATGGGGAGTGTCGCTGCACAGCTGTTTTCAGGTCTCTCCAGAGATGTTCGATCGGGTTCAAGCCAGGCTCTGGCTGGGCCACTCAAGGACATTCAGAGACTTGCCCCGAAGCCACTCCTGCATTGTCTTGGCTCTAAGCTTAGGGTCGTTGTCTTGTTGGAATGTGAACTTTCACCCCAATCTGAGGTCCTGAGCGTTCTGGAGCAGGTTTTCATCAAGGATCTCTCTGTACTTTGCTCCGTTCATCTTTGCCTCTATCCTGACTAGTCTCACAGTCCCTGCAGCTGAAAAACATCCCCACAGCATGATGCTGCCACCACCATGTTTCACCGTAGGGATGGTGCCAGGTTTCCTCCAGACGTGACGCTTGGCATTCAGGCCAAAGAGTTCAATCTTGGTTTCATCAAACCAGAGAATCTTGTTTCTCATGTTCTGAGAGTCTTTAGGTGCCTTTTGGCAAACTCCAAGCGGACTGTCATGTGCCTTTTACTGAGGAGTGGCTTCTATCTGGCCACTCTATCATAAAGGCCTGATTTGTGTAGTGCTGCAGAGATAGTTGTCCTTCTGAAAGGTTCTCCCATCTCCACAGAGGAACTCTAGAGCTCTGTCAGAGTGACCATCGGGTTCTTGGTCACCTCCCTGACCAAGGCCCTTCTCCCCCGATTGATCAGTTTGGCCGGGCGGCCAGCTCTAGGAAGAGTCTTGGTGGTTCCAAACTTCTTCCATTTAAGAATGATGGAGGCCACTGTGTTCTTGGGGACCTTCAATGCTGCAGAAATGTTTTGGTACCCTTCCCCAGACCTGTGCCTCGACGCAATCCTATCTCGGAGCTCTCCAGACAATTCCTTCGACCTCATGGCTTGATTTTTGCTCTGACATGAACAATCAACTGTGGGACCTTATATAGACTGGTGTGTGCCTTTCCAAATCATGTCCAATCAATTGAATTTACCACAGGTGGTCTCCAATCAAGTTGTAGAAACATCTCGAGGATGATCAATGGAAACAGGATGCACCTGAGCTCAATTTCGAGTCTCATAGCAAAGGGTCTGAATACTTATGTAAATAAGGTATTTCCGTTTTTGATTTGCAAAAAAATAAAAAATAACTGTTTTTGTTTTGTCATTATGGGGTATTGTGTGTAGATTGCATAACAAAATGTGGAAAAAGTCAAGGGGTCTGAATAATTTCCGAAGGCACTGTATACCTGGCACTATAATATAATGAAATTAGCAGACACTTTTTTTCCAAAGCGAGTTACAGTCATGCGTGCATACATTTTACGTTCGGGTGGTCCCGGGAATCAAGCCCACTATCCTGGCGTTGCAAGTGCCATGCTCTACCAACTGAGCTACAGAGGACTACAATTCAATTCAGTTCAGTTAGATCTTGTTATTAAACAATCTGGTATGAACACCCCCCTCCTCTCTACTCTCCTCTGCATCACTGGGCATATTAGGTTCCTACTCTCAGGTGCAGGTTTGGCTCCCAGAGGTCAGGAGGAACAAATTCCAGGATGTACATGCTCTCTATGAATGTGACCTTTTAACTCTCTGCCTTTTTTTCTCGTTCCTTCTCTCTCTCTGGAACACACAAACACATTTGCCACACACATGTGGGAGGACACAGGCAATTTGGGGTTTGTCTGTTCACCCACAGGACCAGTCTGAACACAGGGCATGGACCACTTCTCCTGATGCACTTTCTGTCTGCCACACAGGTTCTAATAGCCCTCAGCTCTGGGTCTGTCTGTCTGAGAGTGTATGTTGGATAAGTCATTAGCCTTCCACTGATCCCTGTCCCTAGCACAGCAGAGCTCTCTCTCTCTCGCTCACACACACACACACACACACACACACACACACACACACACACACACACACACACACACACACACACACACACAAACACACATACACACACCACACACCACACACAGCCTCTAAGTGTCAGACAAAATATCCTCTGCAGGAGGGTCCCAGCATGGTCTCATCTCTAGCCCTGTCTCAGTCCTGTCTCTGTCCTAGCTATCTCCTGGCACCACCAACCATAATGCTGCTATGAGTCCACAACCTGCTACATAGACACACAGACGCACCAGCACACATTAAATACCTCTCTCCTTTCCTCTCAACCCCCCTTCTCAAACACCAACCCATTCTAATAATCCAGCCAAACAGTAAACAGCTCCATGGCGGAGGGCTGCGGCTCCTTGAGGGGTTATCAAACAGATATACCAATCAGGCTGAGCTTAAAGCAGCCCTCACCAGGCCCAGTTAATATTTAATCAGCAGCAGACCTAGATTCTACTGGCTCTACTTTATACACTGATTAAACAGCACTGCAACACCAACTACACTGATTAACCAGCACCGCAACACCGCCTGCACAGATTAACCAGCCCTGCAACACCGCCTGCACTGATTAATTAGCACTGCAACACCGCCTACACTGATTAACTAGCACTGCAACACCGCCTGCTAGCACACACACAAACAGGCTGAGGCTGGTAACTAGCATTACTCACTGACATGCATACATACATACAGTGGGGAAAAAAGTATTTAGTCAGCCACCACTTGTGCAAGTTCTCCCACTTAAAAAGATGAGAGAGGCCTGTCATTTTCATCATAGGTACACGTCAACTATGACAGACAAATTGAGGAAAAAAAATCCAGAAAATAACATTGTAGGATTTTTTATGAATTTATTTGCAAATTATGGTGGAAAATAAGTATTTGGTCACCTGCAAACAAGCAAGATTTCTGGCTCTCACAGACCTGTAACTTCTTCTTTAAGAGGCTCCTCTGTCCTCCACTCGTTACTTGTATTAATGGCACCTGTTTGAACTTGTTATCAGTATAAAATACACCTGTCCACAACCTCAAACAGTCACACTCCAAACTCCACTATGGCCAAGACCAAAGAGCTGTCAAAGGACACCAGAAACAAAATTGTAGACCTGCACCAGGCTGGGAAGACTGAATCTGCAATAGGTAAGCAGCTTGGTTTGAAGAAATCAACCGTGGGAGCAATTATTAGGAAATGGAAGACATACAAGACCACTGAAAATCTCCCTCGATCTGGGGCTCCACGCAAGATCTCACCCCGTGGGGTCAAAATGATCACAAGAACGGTGAGCAAAAATCCCAGAACCACACGGGGGGACCTAGTGAATGACCTGCAGAGAGCTGGGACCAAAGTAACAAAGCCTACCATCAGTAACACACTACGCCGCCAGGGACTCAAATCCTGCAGTAGAAGACGTGTCCCCCTGCTTAAGCCAGTACATGTCCAGGCCCGTCTGAAGTTTGCTAGAGTGCATTTGGATGATCCAGAAGAGGATTGGGAGAATGTCATATGGTCAGATGAAACCAAAATATAACTTTTTGGTAAAAACTCAACTCGTCGTGTTTGGAGGACAAAGAATGCTGAGTTGCATCCAAAGAACACCATACCTACTGTGAAGCATGGGGGTGGAAACATCATGCTTTGGGGATGTTTTTCTGCAAAGGGACCAGGACGACTGATCCGTGTAAAGGAAATAATGTATGGGGCCATGTATCCTGAGATTTTGAGTGAAAACCTCCTTCCATCAGCAAGGGCATTGAAGATGAAACGTGGCTGGGTCTTTCAGCATGACAATGATCCCAAACACACCGCCCGGTCAACGAAGGAGTGGCTTCGTAAGAAGCATTTCAAGGTCCTGGAGTGGCCTAGCCAGTCTCCAGATCTCAACCCCATAGAAAATGTTTGGAGGGAGTTGAAAGTCTGTGTTGCCTAGCGACAGCCCCAAAACATCACTGCTCTAGAGGAGATCTGCATGGAGGAATGGGCCAAAATACCAGCAACAGTGTGTGAAAACCTTGTGAAGACTTACAGAAAACGTTTGACTTGTGTCATTGCCAACAAAGGGTATATAACAAAGTATTGAGAAACTTTTGTTATTGACCAAATACTTATTTTCCAACATAATTTGCAAATAAATTCATAAAAAATCCTACAATGTGATTTTCTGGAAAAAATTCTCTCATTTTGTCTGTCATAGTTGACGTGTACCTATGATGAAAATTACAGGCCTCTCTCATCTTTTTAAGTGGGAGAACTTGCACAATTGGTGGCTGACTAAATACTTTTTATCCCCACTGTACTTCAACACACACACACACACACACACACACAAGCTGCATGTGCACACATAATGAGTATATTCTGCTGATGGGTGCATTTTTAATACATCATAAATGTAAACACATTATTGTTGACATCAGACACGCAACGGCCTGCCTCTGATGAAGTGCAAATGGCAATCGAGAAAAACAAGATTGCATTCCTATTACACTAAGTTCTGTTTGCTTGTCTCCCCACTCAGTTGTATTGTATATGTTGCAATGTACTGTAAATGACCAGACTCTTTAATATAGAATAACTGTTTTTCTTGAGGAGTCGTCATATTGCCCCCTAGATGGAAATGAATGACCCATTGTTTGGAGAACAAACCATTTCTCTCAAGAGACTTGTAGTGAGTATAGTAAATAAGTGGGGTGGCGCCCTCCTCTACTCATGAATAATGGAGGTCCTGAGTTGTGATTACAAAGGATATGAGGGACAGTCTTAAGAATAGATGCTTCTGCTTTTACAACTCAAAACAGGGGTATCTTCTATCACCCAGTGTACCTTCTATCGTTCCCGATTCTTAGGGTAGAACAAGAAAAAAGTATTGTTTGCACAACAATATTTTTCAAATTGAAGTTTTTTTGTTTTCTGCTGATGGGAACATCTATTGACCGAAACGTTCACACTCTTTTTTTCAAATGGTTCTGCTTTTCCACCAACTCAGCTGTACTTCTGTACTCCTGCCCAAGCAACACACAAATAGCTCATGACGTAGGCTTGGGTCAACACTGGATATACCATATTTCATTTCTGAGCCGTCAGCAAGGTAGGATGTATGTGATCTTTCATTTCTAACCCCTTCTTCCGGTGGCGAGGCGGTACATCAAACCTACACACACCTCTGAGTGTTTGAAAATGCAGGTGCTTTGTATTGTGTGAGATGTCGATAGCGTCACAGAGCAGGAAATGCGTCTGTGTTTCAAGGAGACTAAGCTCTCTGAGACACCTTTTGTCACAGAGTCAGGTTTGACTCATACACTCATACCACACACACACACACACACATACACACACACACACACACACACTGAGTTGTTCCTACAAAGTACTTAACAATGCTTCTCTTCCAGGATCCAATGCAACACCCACACACTTAAACAAACTAATACACTGTCTAGTCTCTTCCGAACAGAATAATCAGAAAAGTTTCAAGAGTTTCTCTCTTCCCACCAAAGAACAGACATGATGATCAGATCCCTGCCTCATTCACTCTCTAAAGGTTTGTGCCTGTATACAATACTATACTAATATATATTAGTGTTCGGCAGCATTATTGAACCTACCTTTGTCAGTTGTGCCAAACAACCACAATGAAGTATTTGATTTTGAGTCTACTCACGTCTGCTCTCATACATGCTCCTGGATTGGGCCCAGATCTTGAAGGGGTCTGGCTTCTTCTGGAGGGTCATGGTACCATCTCCAGGGTCCTGGGTGGGCAGGGGAGGCAGGCCAGGCAGCAGCTGGGTGGGGGCGGCTGGAGGGGGGACTACGGCCTCACTGGGCATGTTGGAGGAGGGGTGGCTGGGAGAGTCTGTGTGGGTGCTGCGATGGCTGCACACACTGTGCTGAGAGCTGCTCTGACTGTCCTTCCTCTCCAGCTGCTGCTGAATGGACAAAATGGAGAGGGAGAGAAAGGAGGGAGAGTTGGTGGAAGACAGGGGGAGAGAGATAAGACGAGAGGAGAAGGTTAGGTGGCAGTGAGAAAGGAAGGAGAAAGAGAGGGCCGAATAAGAGAGACAGAATAAAAGACAGGGAGTGAAAAAAGAGCGATGAGTAATAAGGGAAGGTATTAGAGAGCGAGAAAGAAGGAAACAACCATCCAAGGTCATCATCATAGAAACACCAAGTGAATTGAGTGTGTCTGTCAGTAAGAGCTGTGTTCTAATGGTGTGCGGGAGAGATGACATGGTTTCTATGTTGCCCACACACAGAACAGTCTCTGAATAGTTTATTCATATTACAATAAGACAACAGGATGTGTGTATATTCATACACACACTACATTCATGTCCACATATTTAATATGAATGTATTGCCTGGTGATGACACCAGGCAGGCCAAAACTCCATCCCACCAAAACAGGCTGAAATTTCAGGCGGCCTTTTCAAACAGCTCTTACACTAAAATTACATTTTCATAATTTTCACAATTTTACAGTATTAATGTTCCAAACCTCTTAGCCAATAGCACTAGTTTTCAGTTTTTAATTTTTATTTTGTATTATTCATATATTCAGTCCAGTGCAATTCACTAAATATATGACCTCTTAGCTTGGGTATAAGACCGTGGGACATTTGAAGAAGCTTTTCAAAATGGACTATGAAAAACCTGTACGTGTTTAACACATTGAACATCCAGGTTCAGGTCAGGTCAAGGAAAACATGTCATCAAGTTGTATTTAGATCAATGAAGACATTTTACGGTTCAATAATGTTTGTTATGGTTGATGAAATATTAAAATCAGCATCATGCATGAGAGGAAAAGCAAACACATTTGAAAATAAGCTTGTTAGTAGAAACAAAAACACACTTACAAGCCAACACTTCATTTTGATCAATAGAGAGTTGCAAATTCACCAAGACAGTTGGGTCCCTCTTGCAAATGGAAGTGTACTCTGAGCACATATTTAAAGCCCAGCACCAGAGGCAGGACAGCGCTTAGAGGTTGACACAGAGTTGCATGCAACCTGACATTTCAATGATACAACACAAAGCCTGCTTTCCCATCGAGAAAAACAAATCAACAGTGGCAACCGACCAGGGTCACCATTGCCCCCGCTCAACCGCTAGAGAGCCCTGCCCCTCCCCCACCCCGTCACATGACCTCAATCGGCGACGCCCCCATCTATGACCGATGCCATATCCCACTAATCCCTAATACCAAATATCCCTGTATCCTGTTAACAGGAATGATGAAGTATGTATGTCTTATCCACATTCCTATTGTATACATACTCTATGGATGGCTGTGGGTAGAAGTTGCCAGTTTGGCACTGATCTAGGTTTAGCCCACCCTCCCATTACCTGATGACGAGCTAAGGTTTGATAAACAGTCATAATAAAAACAAAGTTGGGAGCATAAATCGCTATGAGTGGAGTGTCCCCAAATCCTGACTTAAACCAATAGGGGGGCAGAACACAAAACTGACCTAGGATCAGTTTCTAGGGACAACTTTATTCTCTGGATGAGGCTCCAGGGGATGCTTTGGGTTGAGTGTAATTTACAGACTGGATGGGGGTTTCCCCCATAGCAGGTAGTTGAGTTTTTATAGGGGTTTAAGATGGTGTAAAAATGGGGGTGGCCCGGGGGGGCTTTAAAAAAATTTGGGGTAAAAGGGTTTTTTTGTCCCCCGGAGAGGGCAATCCCCAAAGCCCCCAGCATGAGGTAGCTAGTTTGCCCTCTTTATCTTGGGCTAATGTAGTTGGGGGAAATGGGGGAGTCAAAATCCCAAAAAAGAAGGCTTCCCAACCAATTTTTTAGGGGTTTTTCCCATTCCATCAAAAATTTGTTCATTATCCTTTCACCTCTACTAAAATGAAAACCCAAAGGCTTTTAAGAGAAACCAACCAACATCCCCCTTTTCTTCTCCCTTCCCCCCCTTTCCCCCTTCATTTTTTCCCCCAAAATGAAACGATCAAAATTTAAAAATGGAAAAATTCAAAAAAAAAAAACCCCCCCAAAAAAAAAAAAAAAAAAAAAAAAACAAAAAAAACCCAAAAAAAAAACCAAAAGAAGGGGGGGACCCAAAGGGTTTTAAAATCGGGAACATAAATATGACAGCATGGGAGAGGGGGGAGGGAGGGAAAAAGGGGGGATGGAGAGAGGGGGGAGAGCGGGGGAAAAAAAAGGGGAGAAAGGAAAAAAAAGAGGGGGAAGAGGGGGGGAGAGAGAAAAAAAAGAGGAAAGTGAGGGAGGAAAAAAAAAGGGGGAAAAATAAGTGAGAAAAAAAGGGAAAAAAGAAAAGAAGGAGGGAGAGGTGATGGGAAGGAAAGCGAAAAAAAAGAAAGGTAAAATTTTTTCCGCTTGGGGGAAACGGGGAAGAGTCAAAGGGGAGCAAAGAGAAAAAGGAAGCGAAAAAAAGGAAAAGGGGGATTTGGGGGGTTTAGAAATAAAGATAGGTTTTGAAAGAAGGGGCGCCTCAAAACCTTAAATTTCCACCAAAATGGGCCTGGAATAGTTTTGGTTCTGGCCTGCCTTTTTAAGAGGGGATGGCCCCCAATTGGGGTCCTTTTTGGGGGTTTTTTTAAAAGAAGGGGTTTTCCAAAACGAAAAATCCCTCCACAAGTAAAAAGGGAAAAATATTTTTCCAAAGGCCCAGGAGTTTATGGGGAAAAAGAAAAAAGGACCCCCGGCCCGGGGGGAAGGGGAAGAGGGAAAGGGGAGGAGAAGGAGGGGGGTTGGGGTGAGGAGGGAGGAAAAAGGAAAAGGGAAAACCCTCCAATTCCCCCTTTGGGGAGGGAAAGGTTGGGAAAGGGAAAAAGAGAGTGGTGTCCAAAAGTACCCCGGGATTAAAAAGGGTTTTCCTTGGGGGACTCCCAGGCCCCCGTGGGCCCGGGCCTGGGTCCCTCTTTCTTTCCCCCAAACCCGCCCCTGGCAAAAGCAGCTGCCGGCCCAAAAGCGAAGGGGCAGGGGAAAAACCTTAAATGACCGGGCGTTACTGTTTAACCTTACCCCCAAAAAAAAATAACCAACACGGAGGACGTGGAAAAAAAGGAAAAAAGGGGGGGGGAGGAAAAAAGGAAAAAAGGGGGAAAGGGGGACTGGAAAAGGAGAGAAGGGAAGGGGAAAGGAAGAAGGGTTGCAAAAAAAGAAAAAATAACCCATCTTAAAAAACAAGGGGGTTGGCCCTAAGTTTGGGGTTTTGTTGTGGGGAAGGGGGCCCGAGGAAAGGGTTGGGTATCCATTCAAATTTGAAAAAAAAATATTCTTTATCATATACCCCCCCCCCCCCTTTTGGACTAAAACCCTCCTCTGAAAATTGGGTTCTCGTAAAGGGCGGGGCTTTTTTATCCGTTCCCCCTAAAGGCCCCGGCAAGGGCCCGGATGGAGATTCCCCGAATAAAAAGGGAAAAAAGGGAAAGGGGAGGAAAAGGCCGGGTGAGGATGAAAAAGGCCCAAAAAAAAGAGAAGTGGTGGAAAAAAAAGGAGAGGGAGGGAAGGAAGGGGAAAAAAGACCGGGGAAAAAAAGAGGGGAAAAGAGGGGGTAGAAGAAAGGCGGAGAGAAGGGAAAGTTAGGAAAAGGGGGAAAAATTTTGGTTTTGAAAGGGGAAAGGGAATAAATAACGTATTGCGGAATTTTTCTCTTTGGTTTTCCCCTCTTTTTCCCCTCTGCATTAAAATTTCCCCCCTTCCCTTTAATTTCTAAAAAATCCCCGCGTGGGTATTCTTCCTAATTTTTTTTATCGTTTTTCCCCTTTTCTTCCTGTTGCGGGACCCCTTTTAAAAACCAATGCTTTCTTTTATACTTTTCATCCTCCTTTATTGGGGTTTCCCCCTCCTTTTTCCCCCCTTCTTTTAAAGGGTTTAACAAATATTTCCCCGCGCAGTTGGAGTACGGAGGTACATTTATGATGTTTCCCTTCAAGGGGCCCCTTTTTTAACAAAAAAACTTGAGGAAAATTTAGGGGAAAGGAGAATTTTTAAAGGGACCCTTTTTGCCAAAGGGGGGTTGAAAGGGTTCGATGGAAAATTTTTCACCCGGGTAAAAATTTGAAAACCTTTTTTGTTTTTTTAAAACCCCCCCGAAAGCCCCTAACCGTTTTACTTTCCCTTTCCCCCTTCCCGGAAGGGGTTTTTTGTCAAAGGGGTGATCAAAATGAAGGAATTCCACAGACCCCTTTTTTTTAAGGCCCGGGGTTCTTTTTTTAGAGGCCTCGGTGGTTTTTATAGTTTAAAGGTTTTTTTTTCCCCCAACCCCAATTACCTTAAAGGGATTAGAAAATTTAGTGGGCTTCAAAAACCCCAAAATGGGGCATTGGTAGGGGCTGGAAAGGGTAGTTTTCAATTAAATTTTCAAAAAACCCCTTGGGAAACCCTCCCAAGGCCGTTTTTTTGGGAATATGGGGGTAACCATTTCTATTTCCCTTTGGGGTTACAACCCAAAATTAATAAAATGACTATAATTTGGGGAGGGGGATTCACTTTTAAAAAATTAAAACATTTTCAAATTCCATGTTTGTTTTTCCCAAAAAAAGGAATTGGGGGGTTGTGGAAAGGGTTGGGTTTTTTTGGTTATACCGGGAAAAATAAATCCCCCAAAAAAGTTGCAAATACTGAATTTTTCATTTTTAATACCCCCCGGGTTTTTAATTTGGAAAAGTTAGCCCCCAAAAATTTAAGATTTTAAGATCTTGCTACCATTTGGGGAAAGGGGAAGAAACCCGCAATTTGTTGGGAAAAAATACTTGATTAAACTCTTTTAAATATTTTCCCAGTTTTCCTTTTGGTTAAAAGTCTTTTAAATACGGCCCTAGCAAACAGGTTTTTTAAAAAAATTTAGAAAAAAAAAAATCTATTTTATTTAGAATAGCAAAGCCAGACAAAATTAAACGAGCCTGTTTATAAAAATGAATATGAATTCGGGAGGACAGAAAATGAGTAAAT